TATTTTATTTTTTTTTCCAGTACCGGGAATTGAACTCATGACCTCATGCTTGCCAGGCAGGCGCTGTACCACTGAGCTAAATCCGCAGACCCCAATGATGATTCTTGCTGAAAGTTTTTATTATGGTTGTTGCTGAATGATGATTTTCATGTTCCATTGTTCCTCGTGTATTTATCTCTCCACCTTCTGCTGTCACAAGGAACATTCCCCTCTCCTCTTTTTCTTTCACTTGTTTATATATTTTTATTTCATTCTGTTGATTACAGTCCATTAGTATTACTGTTTATTTGGATGCCCAAATAATTGCATAGTTGGCTAGTGGCATCCCATGTCTGTGCCCTGTTGATACATTCTCTTTCTTTAAGCACTTTAATTCTGGCACAGTAAGGTATTCTAGACTCATATTATTCTTCTCCTGGCTGGACCCCATAATCAGCCATTTCTCTGGGGACTCTGGTTCACTGAGTGGTAAATAGCATTTAGAAACCATGACCTCAGAGGCAGGTATGTTCACTGCTACTGTGGTATTGGTGCTCCCAGGCCCTCAGTGGAGAGTGCTAGGACTTATATGTTTATGTATATATATATATCTATGTCTGTATTTGCATGTTATTAATAACCACAAGTTCAAACAGAAACTTCCAATTTTAGTCTAATACCCTAAAGGTTCAGTTGGGCTTCTACCTTTCCATATTTATAATTTCCTTTTCTGACAGTAAGAAATTTGACCCCATTATGCACAATATGTTTATTTAATTCCTCAGGCTGAGGCAGGAGGATCACCATGAGTTCAAGGACAGCCTGTACTACATAGTGAGATTCTGTCTCAAAAACAAAAACAAACCAGATAATAACAACAAAATTCCTTAGTCTTTAATACATTTATAGTAGCTTCTGATTGTGAATCTATAGCACTGTGAACAATCAACCCTCTAGTTGGGGTTCACAGTAATTTACAGTTCTTTTTGTCTTCAGCTTGAGAGGATAGTCAAAATACTGTGTTCAACTGTTACCTGGGTCTGTTCCCCCTTTATTACTCTGCTTTCGGTATGGTTATGACATTCATTTAAAATAACAGACTTAGTTGTTTTTGCTGGTGTTTCATTTGGAGTTTATTTTGCCTGTCCTTGCAGACTTTAAAAATCTATTTCAAGCTGGGTATGGTGGTACATGCCTATAGTCCCAGCAGTCTGGGAAGCTAAGGAAGAAAATCACAAGTTAGAGCTCAGCCTGGGCAACTTAATGAGATCCTGTCTTGAAATAAAAAATAAAAGTGTGAGGGGCTGGGGTTGGTGGGTTTGCAGTATGCCCTGGGCACAGTAGTGCAAAACAAAAACAAAAAAACCTGTTTTTATTAGGCAAAATAATAATGTGGTTTTAAACATTAAAATTTTGAAAAAATCCACACTTAAAACTATGTTTCTATCACATTTCCGTAATCTTCCTGGCCATCCACATTGGGAGCCACTGTAATTTATTTCTGTTTTTCCTTTTCTGTGTTTCTTTTTGCACAAAGGATCAGGTACTTCGGTATTTCTTGTTTGCTTTTGTTTCTTCCACGTGAGCTAACATGTTAGAGGCACCCTTGCCCTTTGCTCTTTTCACTTACTGTGTCCTAGAAACCACTGCATGTCATTTGATACAGATCCTTATTCTTTCTCATTACTGCGTGCTCCAGCTGCTTTTCCTTGTGAGGCATTTAGGTTGTTTGCAGTATTTTGCAGTACTGCAGTGAATGAATGGCCTTACATATATTTTCATATTGTTGGGCATGTATCTTCAGAGACCTTTTTTTTTTTTCTTTTTTTTGAGACAGGGTCTCACTATGCAGTTCAGGCTGGCCTTGAGCTCACTTTGTAGCCCAAGCTGGTCTTGAACTTGGAATGATCCTCTTGCCTCAGCCTCCCGAGTGCTGGGATTATAGGCATGCATCACCTTGCCCGGTGCTTCAGAGACTCTTCTAAAAGTGATAAATGTATGTGGAATTTTTATGAGAGTTTTCAAAAATGAACATTATGTGTACTTTCGTTATACAACCCAGTATTATTAACTTTGGTCATTATGCTGTAGATTAAATCTCTAGAATTATTCATCTTACCTAAGTTCATCTTGTACTCTTTGACCAACATCTCCCTGGCTTTCTCCTACTTCCCCTCTGATAACCAGTATTATATTCTCTGTTTCTGTGTATTCGATTTCTTAGATTCCACATGTAAGTCAGATTGTCTGTGTCTGGCTTATTTCACCTCACATAGTGTTGTGCAGGTTGATCTACAAATGTTTTTTTCTTTATTCATTCATTGAGGAACACATAGATTGTGGAGTCCATATGTTAGCTATTGTGAGTAATGCTGTAATGAACAGAGGAGTGCAGATAGCTCTTTAAAGTACTGATTTCATTTTTTGGGATACCTACCAAGCAGTAGGATTGCTGGGAGGAGGTGCTAGTTTTCCTTTGAATTTTTTTTGTTTTTCTTCCAGTACCAGGAATCCAACTCATGACCTTGCGCTTGCCAGGCAGGCACTGTGCCACTGAGCTAAATCCCCAGCCCCTTCCTTTGAATTTTTGAGGGGCTATTTTCCATAGTGGCTATGCCAGTTGAGATTGTGCAAGGGTTCTTTTTTCTCCACATCCTTGAAAACATTTTTTAAAAATCTTTTTGATAATAGCCATCCTAACAGATGTGGGATAATGTCTCAGTGTGATTTGAATTTGTATTTCCCTAATGATCAGTGATGTTGAGCATCTTTTCATACCTGTTGGTCATTGTTGTGTCTTTAGAAAAATATCTATTCTGGTCCTTTGTCCCCCCCGCCCCCCCGTACCGGGAACCGAACTCATGACCTTGCGCTTGCTGGGCAGGTGCTGTGCCCTTTGTCTGTTTTTAAATGAGGTTTATGTGGTTATTTTGGTGGTTGAATTTCTTACATATTTTGACTTTTTTTAGAAGCAAAAAACACATAACTTTTTCCATTTTAACTCATTTATGCCACAGATTGCAATTTTTTGAATTTTTGCATGAAATTCTTATGTGTTACCAAGAAAAATTCAAGGAACAAGAATTTTCTGCTCTGTTCATTACTTTTGGAATGCTGCTCTTTTGAGCAGTATTATGTTTTTATGGGGCTCCTAGTGATTATTTGCAATTTTAGACCCAACCATTCCCTAAAATACTTAGTTTTATTTTATTTTATTATTATTATTATTTTTTTTTGTGGTACCGGGGATTGAACTCATGACCTCATGCTTGCTAGGCAGGTGCTGTGCCACTGAGCTATATCCCTGGCCCCTGAAATGCTTAGTTTTTAAAACTAGGTTTAGAACTATAGCACCTAATCTTGTTCGTTTTGTTTTGGGACAGGGTCTCACCATGTAGTCCATGCTGGCCTCAAATTTGAGATCCTCTTTCCTCAGCCTCCCAAATGCTTAGATTACAGGCACGTGTCACCATGCCTACCTCTCTTCTATTCTTGTTCCCGAAGCTTCTCCCATTCCCTTCCCACTGTTGAACTACACAGCAGATTGAGCAGCTGATAGGCAGGAATAGGGGAGGCCCTGGGTTGTACAGATCCACTGATGGCCTTAAGAAAATTTAAACAAAGTAGAAATTAACTTTTATCTTAAAACAGAGATTTATACTTGCTGATGGTGTCCAAAATAACATGTATAATCCTTTCAATTCAGTATGAGTACAAGTTTTATTTTATTTAATATTTTGCAGTACTAGGGATTGAACCCAGTGTATCTGTACTGCGCTACATCCCCAGCTATTTTTATTTCTTTATTTTTGAGATAGGGTCTCTCTAAGTCACTAAATTGCCCAGGCTGGAATTGAGCTTGCTATCCTCCTGCCTTATCATCCCAGAGTGCTGGGATTATGGGTATGTGTATTCACTCCCACCTCAGCATGCACAATTTTTAGAAATGAAAATATCCTTTAAAAATTTTGCCATGCCTCCTTTAAGTGTAGTTATTACCTTACTTTTCTTTCTCTCTTTGTCCTTTAGGCATATTTATGTTTTGCATCTGTCCTTTAGGTTTGCTGTAATGGCACAAGAGTGTTTGTGCAAAGTGATATTCTTGATAAGTTCACTGAAGAAGTGGTGAAACAGACCCAGAAAATAAAAATTGGAGATCCCCTTCTGGAAGATACAAGAATGGGCCCACTCATCAACCGGCCACACCTGGAGCGGGTCCTGGGCTTCATCAAGTTGGCAAAGGAGCAGGTGAGAAGTGAGTGGAAGCTGGCGGGGGCGAGGGGAGGTGGCACTGTTGTCACCACTGTGTGGCCTTGCCCGTGTTGCTGTGTACTGGCTGCGGGTGTCCTCGAGCAGTGCTCTGCTTTGTGTCTGTTGGTTTGCTCAGGATACTCATATCCTTTCAGGAATGCATTGGGGTTGTATGTTTATTGCAAATGATGCGTTCTTTTTCCTTTCTTTGGCAGGGTGCCAAAGTGTTATATGGTGGAGACCCATATGTACCCGAGGATCCCAAATTAAAAGATGGATACTACATGAGACCTTGCATATTAAGTATGTTTTCTTGTTTGTGCTTAAGTGATTTGAATTAAATACTGAATAGATAGAAGTGGATATTTAACAAATTTGTATGTGGTGTAAAGCAAGGGTTGGCAAACGGTGTGTTCTCACTACTCGGGTTTAAAAAGCAGAGATGTCCCATCAACTTCAAAGCCCTCGGATGCTATTCTCTTAGAGGAGCCATATATTTCAATTTACCTGGGACAACATCTTATGTTCTGGAAGCAAGGAGAACAAAAGAAATAAAAAATTTTTAGAAGTGTAGTGCATAGGTTTTTTTTGTTGTTGTTGTGTTTTTTTTTTGTAGAACTGGGGGTTGAACCAGGGCCTCTGCACTGAATTACATCTTCAGCCTTTAAAAAAAATTTTTTTGGCAGGGCATGGTGGTGCAATGCCTGTAATCCCAGCACTTGGGAGGCTGAGGCAGAAGGATTATTGAGAGTTCGAGAGACCAGCCTGGGCTACAAAGTGTGCTCAAGGCCAGCCTGAACTGCACAACGAGACCTTGTCTCAAAAAGACATACAAAAAATTTTTTTGTGTGAAACAAGTCTCACTAAGTCATTACACTTTCCAGGTGGCCTCAAACTTGAGCTCCTCCTGCTTCAGCCTTTGAGAGTGCTGGGATTACAGGAGTGATCCACCATGTGTAACTGCAAATGCATCTTTGATAAAAATTTAAGTAATGAATTTAATTCCTCAATAAAGGAAAGAATTGAACTATCAAAGATCAGTATAGTAAATCCAATTTGTTAGGTAATATGTTAGTCTTTTTAAAAATGAAGCAGTTTCATAATTTTTAGTATCTTCTTTCAGTCTTAAAAATCTGCTTTGAGTTGGGCATGGTGGCACATGCCTGTAGGATATTCTTACAGGTCAGCTGCTCCTTTTTCATATCTTTATCTCTTTTAATTCCCCAGCATAGATCTCACTGCTCCCAGAACTATCCTATTATGAACTTGTGTAGGATGATAACATATTTTCCTGGACTATTGGGTAATGAAGTGTTTTGAGTAACTAATTCTTGGCTAATGGTTTTCCTCAAAACTATATGTAGATTATTATTTTCAGAGAATTAGAATATAGTAAACCCTCCTTAAACACAGTCTAAATACTTCATTTTTTTTTTTTTTTTTGGTACCCAGAATCGACCTGGCGCTTGCCAGGCAGGCGCTTATGCCACTGAGCTATATCCCTGGCCCTAAATATTTCTTAATACATCTTCCAGGATAATTCAGATGTCTCTAAAGGACATTGTAACTCACAGATGACCAGCATGCTGTATAAAGAATAGCATCTAACAAATCTCTTAAGAGATTTTAGAGTTGTTGTCTTTATAGCTCAGGAAGTAGTTGGTTTTTAGTCTTTAGTTTTAAAAAGAACTGGTGTTTCTAGTAGAGTCTCAAGCTCTTTTTCTGCCTCCACATTGTTTACATGTATAGCACAGACTTGCAAACCACATATCTCTATGCAGTGACTGCCAAAGTTGAGAGAAGCTGTTCTTCAGGTACGGTGCAGATAAATACACTCACCCCTTTCTTTGAGACCCATTGGGGTTCACCAGTGAACATCTTGAATGTATGAGCTTTTTGATACACATATTTTAATATGTCAACTGTGAATTAAATCATTTCAGGGATTTAGCCACTTAAAGGAACTTAAGTATGCTTTGATATAGTGAATACTTCCTCAATTCCCTTTCCTCTCCACTTCGTGCCTTCCCCCTCCCTTCCCCGTCCCTTCCCTTTCCATTTCCTCCCCTTCCCTGCCCCGCTCCTCTCACATAAGAAAATGTGAAAAGTACCAAGAAAATGATGTAACATTTTAACAGAAGTTGGTATGATTGTATGCAGTTTTGTATGGTTTTTTTTTTTTGGTACTGGGAGTCAAACTTAGGACCTTGCGCTTGCCAGGCAGGCACTTGTGCCACTGAGCTATATCCCCAGCCCAGTTTTGTATGTTTTATTGTCAACATTTACACCATCTTTTTTTTCCCCCAAAACCTGACTTTTGGAGCTTCATGAATGTTTACCATGAGGATGTGTATAGTTCATGTGATCATTTCTTACATTCTGAATGTTTAGTTTATTGCTTCCCGTTTTTACTATTTTAAGTAAGGTTGTGATGACTATCTTTGAAAATGTTTGTCACCTTATTAGCTATTTCCTTATGATGGATTCAGAAAGGTGGATGTAGAGTTACACAAAATCTGTGCTTGTTTAATGCATACTGTGAAGTTGCCATGCAGAACGGGTGTTCAGTTATATCCATACTGGCAGTGTCATACTGAATTTTTTTTGTAGTGATGTATTTTATTGTTCCCTGGGAATAAGATACCTTTAAGTCTCAGAGATTTCATTGACTTTAGATTTTATAATAACTGTTTGCAGCTAACTGCAGAGATGACATGACCTGTGTGAAAGAGGAGATCTTTGGACCGGTGATGGCTATTTTACCATTTGACACAGAAACCGAGGTTCTGGAACGAGCCAATGATACCACATTTGGACTTGCAGCAGGCGTGTTTACCAGGTATGTGGAGGAGGACACTCGAGGCAGCTTCGGGGACAGGGCCGTAGGGCTGCCTCGATGTGGGCTGGATCTGACTCCCTGCTGGAGTTTGCCCTCACTTAGGGCCATCGGTGTTCTGTGTTTGCTTCAGTTGAAGTTAGAAGATGCCAGAGTAGCACTTGGTAGTTTGCCCTGAATGGCTGGAGGATGCTGCTGAAGCTTAAATTGAGCTCTGAACTTGTTGATGAAAATTCAGTCCTTGTATGTTCATTGAATGAACATTTAAAGTTGTGATCTGTGTGAAGCATTGCGCTAGGTGTCTGTGGAAAACATTCTCATGTATGTCAAGGAATTTGGAAACCTGTAAGTGTATAGATACTGGACCTGGGTGTGATGGCACAGGCAATACTCAGGAGGCTGAGGCAGGAGGATCACCATGAGATCAAGGCCAGCCTGGGCTACATAGTGAGACCTCGTCTCAAAATTAAAACAAATACTGGACAGCCCTCTTCAAGGAGCATGATTTTTAGTGGCATTTGAGTAGTTTCTCACTGGACTGCATTGTAACTCATAACATTTTCCCTGTTGTTGGGTATTTAGGATATTGTTTCATTTTTAACTTTCCTAAGTAATGTGACTAATCTTTATACATAAAGTTTAATGCAAAAGATGATTTGGGAGCAAACTGTAGTTTGAAAATGCCCGCATACTTCTTTTCTAAGGCTGCTTTGCACTGGGAAGTGTGCTGTTTGTTTAGTGGCCTAAAGGTCCATTTTTCTGTGGCTTTGTGGTCTGAGACCTGGAAGAGAAGCCCAAGTCTCTCTTGAGACTCCGATACAATAGCTTCCTTTTGAGTGCTGAAGGAAAGAAAAGGGACTCAGCCTTTTAAGTTTGTGATGGAGTCACCAGAGTGCTCTTGCTTCACTTTCCTACCTCAGTACAAACAAAATCCAGTCACAGAAGAAAGTAACTGTAATACGCTCTTACCTTTTCTTTTTAACGGCCCTACTGGGATAATTCACGTGCCACACAGTTCACTCAGTTCAGTGGTTTTTAGTTTATTTACAAATTGTGCAACTAGCACTGTAATCTAATTTTAGAATATTTTCAGTGTGTTTCTTCATTCTAAGAAGAAACTATGTGCACATTAATAGTTGTTTCCAGTCATATGTGGTGGTGCATTGCTGTAGTCTCAGCACTTAAGAGGCCGAGGCAGAAGAATTGCTGTGAGTTCCAGGCCAATCAGGGCTGCATAGTGAGATGGAATAACTAGTGAAACCTTGTCTCAAATCAACAACAGAATAGTCACTGTCCATTCCCTGTCCTCTCCAGCCTCAGGAACTGCTAATCTACTGTCTCTATGGGTTTGCCCATTCTGAAAAAACAATTTATATGAATGGAGTCATATAATGTGATTTGTGACTTCCTCTTTTTTTTTTTTTTAATTTTTATGGTACTGGGAATCAGACTTGGGACCTTACACTTGGCAAGCAGGTGCTTGTGCCACTGAGCTATATCCCCAGCCCCAACTTCACTTTCTCTTTTTTGAGACAGAATTTCAATATATAATCTAGGCTGGCCATTGTATAGCCTTGACTAGTCTCAGATTTGTGGTCCTCCTGCTTCAGCCTCCTGACTGCTAGGATCACAGGTGTGTGCCACCATACCTAGCCTATTTTTAGGTTTTTCTTTTTTTGAGTCAGGGTCACTCTATGTAGTTCAGGCTGGCTTTTAACTCAATATGAAGCCCATGCTGGCCTGGAACTTGCAGTGATCCTCCTGCCTTCACTTTCTAAGTGTTGGCGTTACAGGTATGTGCCATTACGCCTGGCTTATTTTTATTTCCTTGATCATCTTATTTGTAGCACAGATATAAAAAACATTTTGATAAAACCCAAGTATTCTTTTTTTGTGTATGTGGTCTATTACTTTTAATGTCACAGACAGGAAGGCTTTGTCCAACCCAAGGACATAAAGATTTATTTCTATCTTTTCATGTAAGAGTTTTTACAGTTTTCACTCTAACATTCTGGATCTGTGATCCACATGAATGAATTTTGTGTACAGTGTAAGAGAAAGGAATTCATCTTTAGCCTTTCACATGGAGGTATCTAGTTCTCAGACCATTTGTTGAAAAGACTTTTCTCACTGACTTATTTTAGCATACCTCTTGTTTTGTTTGTTTTTGTTTTTCTTCCAGTACCATGAATTGAACTCACGACCTTGCGCTTGCCAGGCAGGCACTGTACCGCTGAGCTAAATCCTCAGCCCTTAGCATACCTCTTAATGTTTATTTTGTAGACCCCTTTTGCATGATGCTATAAATATTAAAGTCTATGCTTATTTTGCCTCAATAATAAATGGTTTTAAAACATTTTTAAAGAAACAAAATTTTGCAAGCTTTTGGAACCCTTAAAATTGGACCCTGACCTTTCCTAGTAAAGTAGGAATGACCCTGTGTGCTTTCCTTGGTAGGGACATCCAGCGGGCTCACAGAGTGGTGGCCGAGCTTCAGGCGGGAACGTGCTACATTAACAACTACAACGTCAGCCCAGTGGAGCTGCCCTTTGGTGGCTATAAGAAGTCAGGTGAGGAGCTGGCCAATGTGACAGCAAACCAGGTGTCTGGGGAAACCAGTGTCCACAGAACTGCCTGTGTGCTAGAGTCCTGGTCCTCCCCAGACATACTAGTCTCCAGGAGTGGAGGCCAGGCATCTCCAGAAGGTTCTTACATGGTTGTGAACTGCTGATGCACATCTCAAAAAGTTTCTTCATGCTGGGAGAGGCTGTCATGACCATCAACATAAAACCACTCCTCTGGGAGTTCTGTATCGGGCCTTGTCTATCAGCAGGGTTTAGGTAAAGTATCTCTAAAGTAATATCCCAGAAAGCTTAGATTGGTTTGTTTTCTTTGTTAGCCCGAATTAGTAATAGTCTTTCTTTAAAAAAAAAATTTTTTTTTTAGTAATAGTCTGTTAGTATAGCATTTCACAATCGGTTACAGCCATCATCATCCTAGTTGGTGGCCATGGGAACATTCTATCCTTCATTGGCACACGTCAGCTCAGGGTGACGCAGATGTAAGTCTGGCTTGTCAGCAGGTGGAGGCAGAAGCAGAACTCCTTCCTCTAAAGCCCACTGCCTGTAGGTGTCCAGTGGTTTCCCATACCACTCTTCATGTAGACTCAGAATGTCTTGGTCTTTTAGAAGCCTCATTGTGAGAATCTAACCCCTGGGCATCATAGCAAATCTTCACATCAGTGTTGGCAAATTTATAAATGGTGTTGGACACTGATGAGATAGATGGCAGGTGTTAATTTGACAGTCCCATTTGGCATTAAGTATTATTCTGGCACTGCCTACTTGTGCTCTACTGGTAACTCCATGGAGAAGAGAGGGGATGCTCAGAGCTTCACACATAGGCACAGATGCATATGGGAAGTATGGTGCCCTTGTATTTGAGTCTCACCTTCAGGGAGAATTTGCTTGGAATCTGCAGCTCAGGCCTTGGCAGAATTGGGAGGGTAGGGTGTCCCAGGCCACTTTTTGTTTCCTTTTGGACCGGGCCTGCATAGAATGAGGAAGAGAAACAGCTAGATCTGTAGAGCAGCGTCTGCCCTAGCTGGCTACCAGCTATGCTCAGACTCTTGGAAAGGAGCAAGGGAGAGCTAGACCTCGCCCAGACCTTTGTGTATGTTCTTTTTTTCAATAGTGCCCACAGAAGTGTACACTTTTGGGGACCTGGCCTTGATGCCTTGATCTGGGGCAGTGCAGAAGATAAGACTAGCGTGGAATGCCATCCTGTGGACTGCTGTCCCACAGTAACTGTATGCAGTCGGGAGGGACAGCATCATCATTGGAACCTTAGGGAGCCCTTCCCCATTGTAGTGGGCAGGGAGTAATAGCAGGTCATTTGCAGGTTTAGTGTGAAAGGGTAGGAAACCTGGTACATAGTGTTAAGTTTGAAATTGGCACCCCCTTTCAAGGCTGGAAGGTTGATAGTTACAGGGACTGATTTAACACTTAACAGATTATCCTAACAGCAACAAAAAAGAAAAAAAAAAAAAATCCAAACATTTAAAAAAAATCTTTACCCAGAATAGTGGACACCTGACATTCAGAGTCACATTGCTAAGAAATGAGACCTGTATATTTTCCTGACCTGGTCCCTAGAGCCCAGTGGGTCCTCCTTCCTATCCTGAGCTCCACAGCTAGCACATGGATGGTGGGCTTTATCCTAAGTGCTGAGGCTGTGGGTCCCTTCCCTCCCACCCTGAGATGCGGTGCATGTCTCTAAGGAGGATTGTGATGTTTCAGATGGTTGTACCAATGGCTCATCCTGGCCCCTTCTCTTCCTTTCAGGATTTGGCAGAGAGAACGGCCGTGTGACAGTTGAGTATTACTCACAATTGAAGACTGTGTGTGTGGAGATGGGTGATGTGGAGTCTATTTTTTGAAGCCAGGGTGTGGGATAACGAGAGCTGGCTCTCTTGACCAAGGCAGGATGACCAAGGACCACTTTCAATCCAGATTTTAATCATTCAGATTTAAAAAGTAGTTTGGCGGTGTTCTTCCTTTCAGTCACCTTCTTTCTTGATAATGTGCATTAAGTGCCTTTTAGACAATAATCAAGGCAGTTGTGATTTTCCTGCCAGCAAATTTCTGTGTAAGCTTTAAAAGTTATACATCTAGAGAACAGGTTGAGTTTAACATATAGAGCATAACCAGGGTTGTACTTCTTCCAAACAGCTGACCAACTGATGATGTTAATTCTCTAGGTAAGGAACTTTTTCCTTTGTAGTTTTCTAGTAGAATCAGTAGAGATGATTTCTACTCATTGACTTTTTCTTTTAGTCTCTTATTATTCCTTTGAGAAAGCTGATTGCTGAGATAGAGAAGGGATTAGGTAATTGACAGGATCAAATTCTGCATGGATCTAACTTGCTGTAGTAAGCATTTTCATCCTATTCTGCTGTGATGGAGGAAATACACCAGTCCTGGAACTACAGCTTGTTGTCTTACAGTGCCTGTTAAGTGCACAAATTGGAAATAAAAATAGAAAAATAAATGTGCAAAGTTATGTGTGTGCTAATTAGTATAGTGAAAATAAAATCACATTATTAATCTTTTTGCGTGTTTTGGAACTCATCACATTTTGAAACTAGAGTAGGACAGAGGCTAAAAGCACTGTGCAGAGGCAGAAGCTAAAAGCACAGGGGAGGGAACCTGACTTCTTTGCTGAGATCATGAGGGGTGTGTGGAGTTGCAGCTCCACCCTTTGTTCTTCCCCATGTGACAGGCAGTGTCATCCTGAAAAGCTGTTGGATCCTTGGAACTTTCAGGCTGTGTGGTAGTGCTTCCTTCCCCTGTCTTCTTCTTCCTTTTAGGAGAATGGTTAATAAGTAATTGTGCTATGGCTTTTATAGATGTCCCCCCAAAGCCTTATGCAGTCAGAGATGGGGCTTTTTGGAGGTGGTTGGATCTAGGGAGTGTGAATGTGGATTAAAGTTACGATAACTGAATTAGTCCACTGATAGGTCTAGCATTGTTCTGGGTGTGGATAATGGGAAAGCCTACCTGGGTTTGGGTAGCTCCAACCAAAAGGCTTTTAGCCTGGATGGGATAAAAGGGAAAGGTAGATATGCCGTTGCTGCTTCACTGCTTGCTACTGCTGCTTCCTGCCTTCCTTGCCATGGACTGTTTCTCCTCTGTTCTTCTGTGCCACGCCACTCTGCCTGAGAGCCAGCCAACTGTGGACTGAAACCGCTACAAACTGTGAGCCGAAATAAACTTTCCTCCTTTTAACTTGCATGTGTCGGGTATTATGTCTCAGCAATGAGAAAAGTAACAGAGACAAATTACTACTGTAGTAGTCAGAGATATGTGATGTCTGTTGTCACTGGGTCTAGATCTAATTATATATCAAGATGGGCAAATACTATAGTTTTATAGCTTGGAAACAGTTGAAATGTCCCTTCCTGGTGTTGGTTGGTACAGAGGACACATGGAACACTGAGTGAGGGCACAGTGGTATCTCACCTTAGGAGCCTTGTGCAGCATAAACAGCAGGAACTACCTTGGAAAAAAAAGGTTTCTGATGGTTCCTCTATAGCCAGGGTAAGGGAGCCAACATTTGAGTACTCAGGGAGTCCCTACTGCTACATTCCGTCTCATTTAATGCTCACAATAAACTTTTTTTTCTTGCAGTGACCTCAGGTATTTCCTTATACTGACAGAAGACAAATAGGGAATCCTTTTCCTCATATGGAGTTGAATTCCTTGGTTCATGGCCTCTTTTCGTGTCTAAGCTAGTACTTTAAGATCTTCAGATCTCCTTCCATATCCCCTTCTAAGGATACTGTGATTGAACTTAGGTCCTGCCTGAATAGTTCATAATAATTTTCCATTTCAAGATCCTTATTCACAAGTTCTGCCTGTAATCCCATCACTTTGGAGGCTGAGGCAGGAGGATTGCTGCAAGTTCAAGGCAGCTTGGGATACATAGTGAGTTCAAGGCCAGTCTGAACTACATAGTGAGACTTTGTTTCAAAACAAAGTTCTGGGAATTAGGATGGAGCCATATCTGTGGGGGCCATTATTCAGCCTGTCCCATCCCTGCATGGTCCAAAGTGTGTTCCAGATGTCATTAGCTATTTTACAAATTCAAAGATTTGAACAGATTACCTGTAAAGAGCTATCTGTTAGTTGAAGTGTCTTATAAGAATACAGCCATTTATTTCCATGAGTTTCACATCTGCGGATTGAACATATTTGAAAATTAAAAATCGCATCAGTGCAGTGGGAGTGTAGGTCAGTGATAGAGCGCTTGAGTCACGTATGCAAGGCCCTGGGTTTGATTCCTAACACCGCACACACTCAAAAAATCCTACTGAACAGGTACAGGCTTTTCCTTGTTATTTATTCTGTATACAACATAGCCTACTAACTATTTACATAGAATTTATGTTTTTTTTTTTTTTTTTCCCCGGTACCGGGAATCAAACTCACGACCTCGCGCTTGCCAGGCAGGTGTTGTGCCGCTGAGCTAAATCTCCAGCCCCTAGAATTTATGTTTTAATAGGCATTGTAAGTGCTCTAGAGACAAGAGGATGTGCACAGGTTATATCCAAAGACCTGTACTGTGACATTGTATATGAGAGACTAGATCTAGTTCCCCAAGGAAGCAGTCATACGTAGGGATTGGATGCTGGGGGCCACTTACAGTACTTGCAATTACAAAACATTACCTTTTGGCTTTCTGTCACTGGGAAAAATACCTGAGATAAAAGAAGAAAGATTTATTTGGCTCATGGTCAGAAGTTTCAGTCCATGGTTGGCTGGTTTCGTTGTTTCTGGGCCTGTGATGAGGCAGAATAGCAAAGAGAAGGGGATGGTGGAACAAACTCGTTCACCTCATGGCAGCCAGGAAGCAGAGAGAGAGGAAGGAGCCGGGGGCAAGATGGACGCTTCAGACACACACCACCAGTGACCTGCTTCTTCCAAATAGGCCCACTTTCTAGTTTCTGGCTGTTATGGTTTGTGTCTAGATGTCCCCCCAAAGCCTCATATAGTCATGGGGTGAGCTTCTAGAGTTTATGATTGATTCATGAGTGTGAGTGCTACACCTACCCTGGGGTGGGTAGTTTGCATATAATGTAAGGGAGGGAAAGAGGCTGCTTAGCGCTGCTCTTCCCCTTGTACTACTGTTGCTTTTGCTGTCTTCTGCCCATGAACTGTTGCCCTCTGCCATGTGCCATTCTGCCTTGGAGCTAGCTGATTATGGACTGAAACCTCCACAAACTGTGAGCTAAATAAACCTTTCCTTCCTTAATTTTGGGTGTCAGTTATTTTGTCTCAGCAGCAAGAGAAAAATAACCAAGACACTGACTCCTTCCAGTAGTCCATTAAACTATGAATTTGTCAGTGAATTAATCTATGGATGAGGTCAGAGACCTTTGATCCAGTCACCTCCAAAGGTCCCGCTTCTGAACACTGCTCCATTTGGGACCACATGAGTATTTGGGGGAACCTTCATGTCCAAACCAAACACACTGACAGAAACACTGATTTAACCAAGAGACCAGGTTTTCCTGTGTTTGAAAAGTTGTGTTATCCAACTATTTTTCTGGGAAATGCCTTTTTTCCCCTCTACTACTGTTTTGCTTTACTTTCTTTTTTTGAGACAAGATTTCATATTCCAGAGTGGCTGAACTCACATTGTACCTGAAACTTGCACTGAATTTGTGGCAATCCTGCTTCAGTCTTCTGAGTTCTGGGATTACAGGTGTGTGCCACCACACCCAGCTTTTGATTTACTCTATTTTTTAAAAATTTATTTCAAAAACAAAAGAAGGAAAACATATTAACAAACAGACATCCATTTACAAAATAGCATTAGAACAATACAAGCAATACTGAATTACAGATAAAGTGGTAGATAATTAACAGTGGTTGTATCATGTATTGATATCTTCAAAGTGGTTTCTCAGGAAAACAGAGACATGCAAGATTGATCAAATAATTAATCATTAACTGTTCCTTTCAGTAAAGTGATAGAAGTTAGTAGTAACTATGTTAGCTATCCTGTATATACATACATATGTAATTTCCCCTTCTTTCTTTTCTCTTTTTACTCTCTCTCTCTCTAATCTCCCCCTCTTTTCTCTCTTTGATCTCATCTAGAGGTCATTCTTCCTAACATTTCTGTGCATATCTTTCCTAGGATTTCCTGGGATTTGCTAATAAACTGTGGAACCTGATGAGGTCACATGTAAATGGGCCTCACTCATACACTACTATATGCATTTTAAGATTCTTAGATTTCTATACTAAATGTATTGATAGAATTTTTTTCTGGAATTCATTAATGCAAGAAAAAAGAAAAAAAATGCAGTCTCCTGTATAGTTCATTCCTTTGCAATAACTTAAACAGTCCTTGTGTCTAATTTGTCTTTTTAGTCACTGTGTATGGAAATGGTCCCTAATTTGGGCAGGCCTTTTGCATACAAGAGGATAGCCACAGGGCCCCTCCTTTCTTCTCTGCTGTGCTTTAATTCTTGTGCTAGAGGTCGTGGTACTGCACAAGGTAAGAGAATCTGGCAGGGTGAAAGTTGCTTACAGTTACACACCACCCCTCCCAGTCATCAAAACTTCTGTAAGGTCACCCTAGTCCTTGCCTGCTTTTTATAATGTTGAGGTCTCCACCCCAGCTTCTCTGAAATGCAGTCATCTGAGTTGGACTTTCCTCTGAAATAAAAATGAACCTGTTTTTTCTTACACCTAAAGATCAAATATTTTTATCTTTCTTTTTGAGGTGTACACATCTCTCGAAAAGATGACTTTCAAGACATCAAAGGCAATAAAAGAATTAGCAACTAAATGATAATGTGAAGAACCATAAAAAAATCAGAGCAGGAGCTTTTCAAAGGAAATCACGTTACATCAGTCTTGTCCTTTAGACTTGCTGTGGGTTTTAATTGCAGTTAGAGTAAAATCTAGAGTTCTTGCCATGACTGTGGACCTTGCCCTCTGTTTTCATCTTGCATCAGCCTCTCTTTCCCTGTCCCCATTCCTCTGCCAGGCTTGTTCTTACCTCAGGGACCTCAAAATTACTGTTCCTCCTCTTAGAGTATGTTTTCTCCACAACTTCACCTTGCAGACTCCTTAAAGCAAAAAGCTAAAAGTCTACCTCCTTAAAATGAAAGTAGCCACAGTGTACACTTTATATTATTACCCTATTTTATTTCAAAGCTTTTGTTGCTATTTGAAATTATTTACATGCTACTTACATCTTCCCTTACTGGGATGGAAACTGAATGGGAACCCTGGGCTCCTGGACAGTGACAGGACAGTGCTTGAACAGGTGCTGCTCAGTGAGGCCTACGGGCCAGCAGCACCTGCCTCTGAGTCCTGTTCCCACTTCAGATCTGTGACTCTGAACCTGCATTTTAATAAGAACCTCAGCTGATTTATAAGCACAATAGTTTGCCAGGCAGGGCTTTTAGAGCAATGGTTCTCAACTTTGACTGCACATCAGAGTCACTCAGAGACCATATTTAAAAATACTGAGAGGCTAATTTAATTGTTCTGGGCATCTGGAGTCTAAAAGATCCCCAGGTGAATTTAATGGGCAGCTGCGGCTGAGACTGCTGCAGGTACATTAATATTTTTTGTATTACTAAGTACAGTTCCTACTAGCCACATGGAATTACTTAAATTTAAACCAATTAAATGATGGAGCTCATCAGTTACTCAACACACGCATGTGTCCTGGGTACTGAGTTGGACAGAGCAGATTCAGCATTATTTCCATCACGTCAGAAAGTTCCTTTGAGTAGTGTAGCTTAAGAGCAATGGAACTGAGTGACTGCTTGGTTTTTGATTACGTTAGAAGCACATCATAGGGATGAAAACAGGAAGCAGGCACACTGGGCATCCTTAGAACACACAGGCTTACCTGGTTGGTTGCTGAGTCCCGCCAGCAGATGGCTCCTGAGCCCAAGCCAGCCTCTGGCCATACAGCCCCCTCCTAGGCACTGTGCCTGCATTACTGTTTAATTTTCAAGAATTTTATACAAGAAGTATTACCACTTAGTGCTAGGCAAGCTGAGGTTTAGGAGGTGAGTAGACTGGCTACAGGCACACAGCTACCTGCAGGTGGGCATAGTTAAGATACAGTATGGGTTCATTCAGTTTAAAGCTTGGTGTGGGACATTGAATGTAGAAAGGAAGGCAAGTTAAAGCTTTATGAAAATCAGTCCTCATCTTCCTGGCTTTTCTCTATGTGAAAATGTCTCATGAACTACATCTGAGCAAATGCTGCTCTAGTCCTAACTCTGAATGGCCTAGGTTGACCGTTTTCAGTGGCTGTTAGGGCTGGGATCCTAAGTGTCCCCCAAAAAGGCTCATTGCCTGGAAGCCTTGGTTGACTACTGGTGGGCTTTTAGGACAACGATTGTAGCATGAAGGTGCTAACTTCATCAACGGATTGATCATAATTTGATGGCATTATTAGGAGGTGATGGAAACCAGAGGTGGGCCCCAGTTGAAGTGTGTGGGTCATGGACTACATTTGGTGTGGGTTGTGGACTACGTTTGGCCATGGTCCCCTCCCCTTGTTCTCTGCTTCCTGGCACCTCACCCTTCCACTATGTTCTGCCTTGGAGCCAGCATACTAAAAAATTAGAACCAGAAACCAAATTAAATCTTCCTTCAGGTTATTCTCAGTTCTTTGGTGTGGCTAACAGTTTTTGGCTGGCAAAGATGCCAGCCATAGCGCTCCATCCTTAAATGCATCTGTGAACCTAAGCAGTGGAGTGGTCCAGTGGAACATGCCTGGATTTTAGTCAGGCATGGGTTCAAACCTATCTCTGATTCTAATTGGCTACTAAGCACTTGAAATATGGCCAGTGCAGATGAGGAACTGGTGTTTTTGGACACTTTGTGATTACATTTTACTTTAGAAAGCCATATGTGGCTAGTAGCTTGCTATGGCTTGTGTCTAGATGTTGCCCAGAGCCTCATGTGGCCATAGGTAGGGCTTTTTCAGAGGTCCCTGGATCTACAGTGCGTGACCGATTTGTGGTGCAATGTTAGAATTAAGGGTGCTAGGATTAAGGGTGGGTGATTAGTAAGTCATTCTGCTGATTGGATTGGCACCCACCCAATCCCAGTAGCCTAGAGAGAGTATAAAAGGGATAGAAAGATGCTAAGGCCCCTCCCTTGCTTTCATGTTTTGCTGCCTTCTGCCTACCATGAACTTTTTCTCTTCTATGGTTCCCCTTGGCCATGCTCCCCTGCCTTCGAGCCAAATGATTACGGGCTGAAACCTCTACAAACTGAACCAAATAAATCTTGTCTCCTGTAACTTTGGGTGTTGGGTATTTTGTCTCAGCAGTGAGAAAAGTAACAGACATAGCTATTCTCTTGGACAGTACAAGTCTAGATGCCATATTTCCACTGATGTAGTTATAGCCACTTTCAGTTTTGGAACAACTATCATGTTTTGCCAATTTGTATCATTCTCCAAATAATGAAAACTTTCTTCCCCATTCACACATAAATGTATCTTTTCCCATTTGCAATCAAATCTTTGAATCCAAATGTAGAAATTTATATTCACTTCTATTAAGTTTTATCCTAAATTTAGCTTATTGCTTCGAGTTTTTTTAAAAAAATCTTTTCTTTTATCCTAATTATCAGTACCAAGTGATGAGATGACAACTAATTAGAGCCACAAGACCATCCTTAATTTTTCACTGCCATGGCATGAATACGAACATACTACCACAGTCAGACTTTTCTCAACTTTACCTTCTGTGTAAGAGTGCTGGCAGGAAGAGGAGGGATATTCAATACTTGTGGCTCCTCTCTCCTCTAGGAGGAGGCGGCTAGCTATTTTAGACAGAACCTCAACAAGAAATCAGTGGCAAGAGTCAGGAGGGTTAGGTATGATGAGGCTGATGCCAGATAAGTTTTTATTATATTTAGAAAAAAAATGTTAAATGGAAATAAGTCATTCAAGATGAATGAGTTTTTTAAACCCCTGTAGTTCTTCAATGGCAGCTCCTGGGCCCACCGCCCAAGCCAGATTTAACCCAGCCAAGATGCTGGAAGGCAGAGCACACAGTTGTGCCCATCAAGGCGAAGAGGGCGATTGACCCCACAGATCCTCGATACCGCTTGCTGGGATCTGAAAAAGAAGGAAGCAACATCACCAGAACTTCCACAAGCCAGTCGCCCTTGGTATCTGCGATGTACATCTGACAGCCAGGCCTTGGGAGGGTCACCAGTTCTAGCCTAAGGCCGCTAGTATGTCAGATGCTGCTGGGAGGAGTAGCACACATCTGTAATCCAGCAATCTGGGAGGCTGAGGCAGGAACTTAGCCTTAAACAGTGTAGTGAGACCTTGTCTCAAAATAAAAATTTAAAAAGGGATGGGAATGTAACTCACTGTGAAGGCCCTTGCTTCAATCCCCAGTATTGGGGAAAAAAGAAAAGCTGCATACAAAATAAATCTGTCACAATAGTTTCCTTTGGATCCTCAAAGATTATGGGATAATAGTTAATTAACCACTTAACAGTTTACCCTGAGTGTCACTTGGACAGTGCGTTTATTTACACACTATTCTGAGCATCTCTTAGGCAGGGGTCATTTCACCCAGTAAATTCTTGTATTGAATAAATTTAATAAAATTGTCATTTTTATATTTCCTCTTATCTTATGAAAATCAATGAAAAAATACGCAGTTTTTGGTCTTCCTGTATTTAAAAAATTGGACTGGTAAGTGGCTAAAGCAACTGTGCTATAAGACATTTGGAAATTATTTCCTTCTTCAAAGAAGTACACCCCAAAATGTCTCAACGACAACAAATGTCCTGTTTCCCTTCTCTCTCAGGTGTACCATTTAGCATAGTTGTTAGGTGCTGCAGTGAGACTGCCCGGTTTTCATACCACGGGTTCATACTTAGCAGCATTGTGACCCTCAGCCTTCACCTTGTAAGCCTCAGTTACCTCATCTATAAATGGGATATTGTCATCTCTGCATACTATTGCTGCAAGGGTAAATACCATATGCAAGGTTTATAGAACAGGAATGCTCAATTATAAGGTTTTTTTTTTTTTGTGACAGGGTCTTGCTATGGAGTTTAGGCTGATCTTGAATTTAGGCTAGCCTCAAACTCACAGTGATCCTTCTGCCTCAGCCTCCTGAGTGCTGGGATTACAGATGTGCACTACCATGCCCCACATAAAAGTCTTTGGTTATAATTGTAAAGTTAGTAAAAAGAATAAAGATAGTAAATCTTTTACCTTAATTATCAAGCTGTTTCTCCTTTCTTTCCCTACTTTTCCTCCTTCTTCTCTCCCTCCCTCCCTCTTTCCCTTCTTTGGTTTTTTGAGACAGGGTCTTGCTATGTAGTCCAGGCTGGCATAGAACTCACTAGACTGGGCTCAAACTCAAGATCCTTCTGCCTCAGCATCCCAAATGCTGAGATTACAGGTATGAGCCACCATACCTGGCTGTGTCCCCCTCTCCCTTTAAAAAAATTTTTTTTGAACAAGGTCTTGCTATATCGTGCAGGCTGGCCTGGAACTCATGGTGATCTTTCTGCCTCAGCCTCCTAAGTACTGTGATTATAGGCATGTGCCACCACACCTGGCTAATTCCCCTTTTCTTAAGCCTTGCTAAGAAGAAAAATATAGCAGCACAGAATTTTAAATTTATTTCCCCAACCAGATGTCAACATGTGCTTACCTCCTGTGTAGTAGCCATATGCATAAAGAACTCGTCCAACAATCCAGGCTAGGCCCAAGCCAGAAGCTATACGCTAAGATAAAAGGGTTACATTAGGGTCTGCATTAAAGAAACAGGCAATCCCTTTATTAACACCTAGGGTTAATGCAATGTGTTACTAAAATTAATAATTTCATGAACTTGCTAAGATACTCTCCACTAAAGTTAGGGAGAATTAAGTAATTTCAGTGAGGAAAATCAAGCACCTGTGATTGTTCTACGATTTATGTTATGGCTTGTGTCTAGATATCCCCCAAAGCCTCAGATGGTTATAGGTGGGACTTTTCAGACATGATTGGGTCTAGTGTGTGATGCTGGGCTTAAGGGTATGTGATTGCTAAATCAGTCACTGATAGGTCTGGCATAGTTCTGGATAGGATGTAGGGTGCCCACCCTGGGTGGATAAAATATAAGGGACAGAAAAAGGGCTGGTGCAATCACTTGCTTTTGTTGTCTTCTACCTGCCATAACCTGTTTCTCCTCTGCGATGCCCCTCTGCCATGCCACCCTGCCTTGGAGCCAGCCAATTATGGACTGAAACTGCTACAAACTGTGAGCTAAATAATCCTTTCCTCCTTTAACTTTGGGTGTTGGATATTTTGTCTCAGCAATGAGGTAACTAAAACAACTAAAAGTAACTAAGACAACTTGTTCATCGACCTGAGAGCTGAACACTGGCCTAGGCAGAATGGCTGGAAGGATCTCCCATCTTGTTTCAAGGAACTCGGGGAACCTGTGCTAGAGCTCAGGAGGGGGACAGGCAGGCCTGGGGCCTGGGGCCTTTGGCTGGGTGAAAAGAGAACACTGACCAAAAGTCAGGACTAGAGGCAAAGCCACAGGGTCCAAAATGGGTCCCTAAGCACAAAGCTGACCCCAAACTCCAGCTGGTGTACGCTGCCTGGTGTCCAGGGAAGTTACCCACAGGGAGGGGCTGTAAGCAGGTGCTGACCCTGCCTGCACATCCACTAGGAAAGGTGGGGAGAGTGTGTCACACTGTGAATACCTGAACATGTGGCCTGGGGGTCCCCTCCCATTTCCCATACCCTTGAGGAAAGAGAGGAAAAAACTGAGATGAAAAATCCTTCCATGGGTGCCATGCATGGAGGGCTGCACTGGGCCAAAAGGAGTAAAACAACAGAGACCTGTGGGCACTGTCGGGTGGTGGGTTACTATGGCAGGGGCTTGTTTGTTGGAGCTGACTCTGGGTAAAGCTAAATATCGACAGGAAGATGAACTGAAAATGAAAACTACAGTTTCCTAAGTCACTATTTACAAGCTTGTATTCTATGCCAGGTTGTTTTTAAAAATTGAACTCAAGGCCTTTGCATTGAACTGCATCCCTTGTCCTTATGTATTTTTAGTTATTTATTTATTTTTTGAAAATTTTAAGACAGGGTCTTGCTAAATTGCCCAGGCTCAGTTTGAAGTTACAGTCTTCCTGCCTCAGCCTCCCACAGTGCTGGGGTTACAGGTGTGTGCCGTCATGCCCAATGCTGTATAATCACTATCAGTGTAAGAGCTTTGGAGCAGTTCTCACTGGTGTTCATAAGAACTAAACAGAGGGAGTAAGAACTAATCTGGGAAGTGGGACGGGAATGAGGTGGAATGCAGGTGCTCAGGTGATGTCAGTCAAGAGACACAGGGCAACTCAGACCAGCCAGTCAGGTCACCTCCTGGGCATGGGACACCAGAGAGCAGAGAGGCCCCAGAAAGATATACTGTCCCAACAGATACAAGACCAGCTGAAGCTTCTGTTTTAAAAAAAAGAAAAAAAAATACTGGTCTTCAGAGTATTTGTCTACAAGAACAAGATGTGCCCTTCTGGCATCCAACTAACAAAAGCACAAAGCTGTTCAGGTCCAGCCCTGAGACACTGTGCCAGACTTAGAACCGGGAGCGTGGCAGGCAGAGCTCAGCTCAGGGGACAGTCAAGCTGGGGGAAAGACAACACCTTCTGTCCAACACAAAACCTGAATGGCAGCTAATCGGGCTCAGATAAACCGAAGTGGAGACCCAATCTGCGGCCTGCAAGGGTTGTTCCAGGAAGGCTCCAAGGCTCTGCCCGCCCTGCTACTTTCTGCCTCTCTGTGGTCTCTGGGCCTCCCTACTGCTCACCAAACCGACCAGCAGCTCCCGCCTCAGCCTTACCCTCAGCCTGGGCTTCCCCAGGACACCACCCACAGACTGCGGCTCCCTTACCCCCTTTGGGGTTCATTTACCCGTAACCTCGCACGCCCTTCCTCCCTGAGCACAAGTATTCAGTCTCACTGGACATATTATCACTTATGCTGCTGTTTGTCTGCGGGCCCCCAGCTAAAAGGCAGCTCCGCGAAACCAGCATCTCTGCCTGTTTCACTCACTGCTGTAACCTTGGCCGCTGAGTAAACGTTGGTTGCCCGAATGAATGCAAATGCTCATGGACTTGGAACTTTAGAATCAGCTAGACTGGAGTTCAAAGTCTGACTCTTCTAGTCTGTAACTATTAGGCTTCAGAAAGTCACATAGTATCCAAGAGGCTTTCCCTGATCTGTAAAAAATGGGAGAGATGTCACCTACCTTTAATGGACTTTGTAAGAAATAACTGAATAAAGTTCTTTAAATATATGGTTCCTTGATACTGAAGATGCTTATGCAGTGTTCATTTCCTTTCCCTTCCCTAGCTCACTGAATTCAACCCAAACAGATGAACAGCCCCTGGAGCACTTACCGGGTGATAAACACCTCCAGTAGCTAGGAAAAAGAGGAAGGGAGGGTACACTTCCAACCTGGAACAGAGAGAAGAACTTTTTAAACAGCGCCCCCTGTTAATGATGCAGGGTCGGAACCTGAGAGTAAAAATGAACGTTGCCTCGAGGGCGAAGCTCCAGCTGCTGATGCCCAGCTGTCTGCCCTCTGCCCGAGAGCAGAGGTGGACTCGGAACATGCACAGTAAAAGGGCCTCACACCTGACCATCCCATGAGGAGGCCTTGGCAGTCACAGTGGGTTTCCTTATAGAAACTGTTTTCTCTCTAGGGCATCAAGGTTCAACATCAGTTTAGGTGAGAGCTGGTGCAAATGCTTTTTTTATTTTATTTTTTTTGTCTTTTTGAAACAGGGTCTCGCTATGCAGTTCAGGCTGGCATTGAGCTCACTTTGTAGCCCAGGCTGACCTCAAACTCGCAACTATCCTCCTGTCTCAGCTTCCCTAGTGCTGCAATTACAGGCCCAGTGCAAATGCTTTAATGAAACATTAGTGACATTTCTGAAAAGATTATCCAGAAATTTGACTTCTTAAAAGCTCTATATTTTACTTAATATTCATTCTGTTCATACAAGTAAATTTTCCCCCATGGAGGTAAATTTTGAGATATAGTTTAGGCTAGCCTTTAACTGACTGTGAATGACAGGATGACCTTGAATTGATGGTGGTCCTCCTGCCTCAGCCTCCTGAGTGCTGGAATTATAGGTATATACCATCGCCCCGGCCTTAATGACAGTTTTAATGCAGTGCCCATAATTGTCATTGTTATCACTCAGCAAATACGGAGCCCCAAGGGCTGAGGTGTGAGACAAGAAACATGTCCTCTGCAGGTGTCTTTGGTACCTGGCAGGGCCGACACTCACGTGTTCTGGTGGGCTCGCTGAATGCAGTTGAAGAGGTGCCCATTCTCAGGATCTGTGCTGTACATGACAGGATACTGTTTCAATAAAACACAGAAAAGCAGCATTCAGTGTTACGAGTTCAGATTAACCTTGAAAATAATATATTCCAAGCCATCTTCTATTGTACCCTTGACAATGGTCATTTGATTCTGCTTAACTGTTTACAGTCACAAAGGTCTCAACTGGCAGAAGCAAGGTTGATGTTTCCATTAAGTATCTGAAAACTGGAATGTCTGTGCTGTGGCCAGACAAGGCGGGCTGTTCATTGATATTATGCATCGATGGAGGATTTCACATGCATCTCAGACACTGCGGCCCACAGCACCTTTCCAGGAGTCATCGTATGCCACACCCTTTTAAGATTCCCCTCAGTGGGGGAAGAGATTATTCAGTGTGTGCGAATTTTAATGGAAGTGTCCATAGAAGAAAGAGACAAAAGTAGATAAGGAAACTTTAAAAGAGGCTCCAGTGAGGGAGTCTCATTACGAGTTGCTAAGCAGAAATAGACATCTAATTGCTCACCAGGGAGAACTTTAGAAATTATCCCTGCTAGAGCAGCTAGAACGGAAGTATTTAATAGGCCTCCCTCCTGTGTCTGCTGTCTAAGCCAGGGCTGAGCTTGACATCTCTTTTCCACTTGGAAAACAGGAAAATAACCTGAAGACGCCATCTTCAAAGCAGCACACCAGGAAACAAAGTTGCCTCTAATCCTCTTTAGAAAATGGCTCTCTTTGCAGCAAACCGCTGTAGCCCAAAGCATACTGTTCTAATACCAGCTCCCTGGTCTTTCTACAGAAAGGTCAAACTGAAACAAGATGGAAACTACTGCTTAGCAGATCCCTGTATTTCCTAACTCCTCTGCTACAGAGGATCTGATTTCTAATAGGCACAGCCAGCATCCACCACCAGCAACTCCCCTCTCCCTCCATGACTGAAAATAGGTTCTTGGATAAGCCTACAAAAGCACAGCTTCACGTTCCTACTCACCTCCACCTTGTACTTCTTGCGGGCCTTGTTAACATTGATGGCAAGATGGAGTACCATGACAAAGCTGGCGGCACCCGTGAGAATCACGAACCCATATTCCTTCGAGAGGACAGCCATGTTGGTGCTGTGGAGAAAGCATGCCATGTTGGAATACTGTCCCCAGAAGTATCATGTGGTACAAGGCCTTATGGGGCATGATGCCTCATTCCCAGTTAAGAAAGGAGTGTCGCATCAAAGAGGTCATTAGAAATACACTTCAAGAGAAGCACACAGTCACATACCATATTTTCTTTTGTGCTTAGAATCTTTTCCTCAGCATTCTATTAACAAGATTTATCTATACGATTGCAATGGTTGTAGACAGTCACTAAACACTGCACTTTCAAGAAATATTTTATTTTATTTATTTATTTATTTATTTTTATTTTTTTTATTTTAAAGAATAAAAGAAGGATAACATAATAATAGGGGGGACTTAGCAAATTACAGACAAAATGGTAAGAAATTATCAATGGTTATCGTTTTACATATTATTATCTACAAAATAGTTTCTCAGGAAAACAAATAGACAAATAATAGTGAGTTAGAGACAAAAGAGGTAGGAGATTATCAAGAGTTGTTGTGCTATACTTTGGTATCTTCAAAGTGGCTTCTAAAGAAAATAAATAGAGCTATACATGAGTGACCTATTGAAAAATCATTAACTATTCTCAATGGTTGTTGTAGGAAACACATAATAATAAACATACATTATGAAATAGGATAGGAACATTACAAACTTAACACAGTTATGGATAGATTAGTAGGAAAATATCAATGGCTGCTGTAATACGTGGTGGTATCTTCAAAGTGGGTTTCTCAGGAAGACAGAGATATGTAAGAAGGATCTAATAAGTAGTTATAGCCTAAGGGTTGTCAAAAATAGCATATTACCTCCTCACCAGTGACTCCTTTCACTGAGGTATGATAGCTGGAAGGAAGGCCAGGATTGAAAAGAAGGACTGAGAGACTTGCACCTGTGACTAGCAACAGGCTGTTTTCTTGTTCCTCCATAGTCATGATTACCCAGGACTCCTCGATGGAGATGACGGTCTGGCCAGAGGGAGAAGGCAGACCATGCCCCAAGCCCTCTCATTCCTGTTGGACTAACTGGTAGCATGGGTCTGAGCTCTGGGGCCTCCACCTCAGAGGGCAGACCGATCTCCAGTGGTCTCCTTTGCATCCAGGGCATGGCCCATCGGGCCTCTTAGGGCAGTTCTCAAGAAATATTTTAAATGATAAAATGCTAAAGGATACATTAGAGAGAGAGAAGGAGACAGTGAGACAGAGAGAGGGGAGAGAAGCAGGATACAAAATAAAATGTACAGCATGACTCAGTGCTTTTTGACTCTTGGCAGAGGACACTGGGAGGGAGGTCAGGAACTGTGAGGTGTCGCTTTGATCCTGCTCCTGGGGTGGGCATCTCACACTGGTAGGACTGGGAAGGGCTCCGTTCAAGTGCTCTGAAAGCAGATCATGGCTCCTGAGCCTGAAATCTGCCAAGATGTACAGGTCTGGACAGCTCCTGGGGAAGGCAGGCTGCTCCTCAAATCATCACTTCAAAATCAGCCCGATAAAGTGTTCTTTTTTTTGTTTGTTTGTTTTGGTACAGGGAATCGAACTCAGGACCTTGTGCTTGCCAGGCAGGCACTGTACCGTTGAGCTATATCCCCAGCCCTGGTATCTCCCCTGCCCCAGTATCTCCCCAGTGCCATAAAGTGTTCTAATGTTGGCAGCTTATTTTCAAATGTATTTTTGAAAAAAAAGACAATATAAGCCAATAGGTCAAATGACAACTGTAGCTGTATGGATAGCCAGTGTATAATTCTTTCAACTTTTTTTTTATATATAATTGAAGATTTTCATAATAAAATGTTTGGAGAAAAAGCTAACTCCAGATCATTCTCCAGTGCTTGGCATTTAAGAGGGAGAAGGAAAGAAATGGTACCAGGGAGAACAGACGGGGGGAGGAAGCCCTCAGCAAATCAGGGCAGTCGGGGCTACCCTGGATGGGGTGGGGGGGCGGTGAAGGAGCAGCAGGGACAAGAATGCTCTTTAAAAGCCAGAGCACTCACAGGAAGTGGGACCCTGAGTCTCACACTACAGCAGATAGTTTGCAAAGGACAGTGTAATTGCCTGGTGTTAGGGACAGGGGAGGTGCTTGGGCGGGAAAGCTGCCTTCCACAGCGGGGAGCAGCTCTTCCTGACACCCCAAGCACTCCTGCCAAGTGGGGAGTCTTGCTTCCTATACCACAACCTGCACTTAAGAGTAGCCAATTTCAACAGCCACTAAACTCCCATGCAGAGGGGACCCTGTGGTCTGGCATCTCCCGGCACAGGGCACACAGCCATGGTGTACAGAAATGCAAATGATGGAACCTGCAATTTCAGGCAGCTTTTAGGAATGGCACCCCCACCCCAACACACGTGAGGTAAAGGTCCTCATCTGCTACAGTGCCTAATGTAAAATGTGAATGTGACCAATTCGTGTTTCCTTTTCTCCTAAAGAGTACCTATTGAAGCCATGGAAAGTGAGTGTGGTGGCCTAGGCCTGAAATCTCCACACTCTTGGGACCGTGAAGGTCAAAAGTTCGAGCCCAACCTCCTGGGCCACTTAGAGACAGCGTGATCCTGTCTCAAAATTAAAAGAAAAAAAAAGAAGAAAGAAAGAAAAGAGAGAAAGGGTGATCCTGTCTCAAAATTAAAAAAAGAGAAAGAAAAGCGAAAGGACTGGGAATGGAAATGCAGCCCAGTGTGAAGGCTCTGAGTCCTAGCCCTCATACAAGAAAAGAAAAAAAAAGTCAAACCAAAAAAGTGATTCTGAATTACTTAAAAAGTTTAGAACACAGAAACTCTTCCCAAAAGGGAAGGAAAAAGCAGTTAAGGCTTGCCCTATAAAGAAAGGTTCAGCTTAACACAACCGAGGTTAAAAAATAATTTACCATTTGCTAAATCCTCATTTCCTGATACTCCTGGGCAAAATGCGCGGCCTCCTTGTGTATCAGGGTTAAGGCAGCTCAGTCACAGTGCCGCACCCCAGCTGGTCCCAGCCACACCCGGGGTTCTGCTGGTGCAGAGCTAGTGATAGTGTCCAGGGAAGGCTCGAGGGGCTGATAACTCACGTAGGACCTCCTTCTGGCACAAGCACTCATTTTACACTAAACCCCATGCTCTGTAGATTGTACACATGGGCCACCACCAGCAACTCCTTTATGGGCCCATACAGTTCCTGAGGGTGAGCTTTGTCAGAGGTTTTGTCTTCTTCAAGGTGCTGGGCCCAGCAGAGGCTCTGTTTTGAGTGTTTGCACCTTGGTTCTCCTGCTCATCAGTGAGCTACTTGAACACTGATGAGTGAAAACAGCATACATCACCACATGGGCTGTATGCTGATGACAGAGAACACCAGGTCTGGGTTTCCTGTTTGTATTTATAGTAACTGCATGAATACAGGAGCAAAGGGACAGGAACACAGCCATGGCACAACAGCCTAGGAACAGGCCAGAGCTACAGCCAGGATTTTGGGGGCACTTTACCCATAGGACTGCATCATGTGCAAAGAAAGATGCTTTTACCATTTCCTTTTCAATGTGGATGCCTTTTATTCTTACTCTAATTCATCAATCTCCCTGCTAGAACCAGTGCAATACTGAATAACAGCAGCAAGAGCAGGCACTCCTTGCCTTGGTCCTCATCTTAGGGAAGAAGTGTCTGTTCTCTCTATTAAATACATATGATGCTGCTGGCAGGCTCTCATTGATACGTATTTCTTTGAGAATACTACAGCAATCTAATTATTTTTATTTTTTTTAAAGAGAAAAAACCCAATAAAAACAATGATACAGAATTTCAAAACAAGATAATAGGAAATTAACAGTGGTTATTATATTGCTTCTTCAAAGTAGTTGTTCAGCTTACAAGATATAGGCATGCAAAGCTGATCAAATAGTATAAGCATAAACCATTATTTTCAATGAACTAATAGAAATTAGTAGTACAATCATCTTAGCTATCTTGTGTAGATATGTGTATATTTTATCTTCCCCCATCCCAGTTGTTCTTTCCTTTTGAGCAGTTTCTTTCCCTTTCATATCTATTGAATATTTTGGATCTCATTTACTTTTTCAGTTTCTTACACTAGGGAGACAATACAGTGTTTACACATGCAAGTCTGGTTTATTTCACTTAGGGTTATGGTCTCTAGTTGCATCAATTCACCTATAAAAGCTTCAAATTTATCCTTTTTTATAGCTGAGTAATACTCCATTGTATAAAAATACCAGTCTTTTTTATCCATTCCTCAGCTGATGGGCATTTAGGTTGTTTTCAAGATCTAGCAATTACAAATTGAGTTGCTATAAACATGGGTATACACACTTATTTCTGTTTTAAAAGGAACAATGGCACTTCTATTTGTAACTTCTAAAGTTCATCAGCATGTTTATTACTTGGCAAACAAGATTTGTTTGAGGTTGGAGAAAGAAAACTTGAAATACTATCTTGACACAGGTGGGACATGGGTTGTCAGAGGAACAGAAAAACCCCAGGCCACAGTGGGTTTAGTGGGAGGAGATCAGGAGAACAGAGGTGTGCCGCGACCTAGAGGGGCTTGTGGTCTCCGAGTGGATGGAAAAATACACTCAGGGCCACGACTCTGTGCTGCAGCCAGCCAGCAGACGCCAACGGACTGCAAGGAAATGACAGGCAAAACTGCAGTCTCACTTTAGGAGCCATCAAATTCAGTCTTCAAGTGACGCACTGTTGGTCTCCAATGCCTACAGGATTTGTTCCTTTGTGGCACTTGACTTAGGAAAGGGGTTCTGGATGATCTTATTCTCCTGTAGGAATCTCACTGACAGGTCCTCCAGGGATCATAACTATTCTAGTGCTAAGGCTTCACTCAACCTTTCCTTCTAATTCTTCTAGTGCTGCCCTTGCTTTATCTCACTGGGACAGGGTTCCCGAGTTACAGCAAGGCTTGCCCCGAACACTTCCTGAACTACATTCAGCGAACCCTCCTGAGGAGGAGCTCTCTTTCTCTGTTTACCCAAGTTCCTCTTGGCTGCCCAAGAGAAATTCCCCGGGGGA